TATTTATTTCTGATATATTTTTCACTTTGCAACATTCTTTTTTTGCTTATTTAATGGAGAAAACTTTTCTACATTGATTTTGATGATGTTGATGCTGCTGCTGATGTTAGCTGCCTGCTGCTTTGCTTCGCCTGCTTGTTCTTGTTCTCGTCGTTTTTGACGTTGTTTTTTGCCTGCCTGCCTGCCTGTTTTACTTCTTTACTTTTACTTTGTTACGTTTGTTGTTGTAACGCGCGTGTTTTTTCTCGTTTCTGCACAGAATAGGGGTTTCTAGATCGATTGTTGAACTAATCGATTAATCGACATTGTGAAATGAATGGTCGCAAATCAGCTGATGGGAAATGTATGGTAGTTATCAAGGGAATGATTTAAATGCGTATTATAAACAGAATTGTGGAGGATTTTCAATACGTAATATTACAAAAACGACAATACTAATACAGAAAATATACATATTAAATAATTGTAGATGAATATTATGATTTGCCCCTCAAATCTTACATATAAATATTTTTTTTTAAAGTAGCCTAACAAATTTGGATAAAATTTGAATAATAAATAACCTTAATGTCTATTCAGAATATATTTATGGAAAATATATATTAAATTACCGAAAATAAATATTATGATTAACCGCGTAATTTATATAAATCATTATTTGTATTTTTTAATTTAAAACTTTGTCCGGTTTTATACATGCAACTTTTGTAAGCAACTCTGCTGAGTTCTTAGAAATGAGGGGTATAAAAAGTGGCAAGGGGGAAGAAATTCAAAAGAGAATCGAAGAGAGCAGCAGCAGCTGCTTAAATAAATTGCATGTATAAACCCAGACTTAGTAAAATATTCAAAAATAATTATAGAAAAAAATTTGGTCTGTTCCCATACTGCAAGAATCTACTCGAATTTATTATTTTCTTCGATATCATAAAGGAAAATTCGTTATCGTAGTAAAAAGTAGTAGATTTAATAATTTGGAAGATATGTCTTAGTTTTTACTATTTCTTTCAATATCATGCGGTTATTGAAAAATTAGTAAGAACTAGTAGATTCTAGTAGATAATTTTATTAGATCCTGGTCCTGGAATTATTGGTATTTTGCCGTACACCAAGAATCTACTAGATTTTACAATTTGTTCGATATAATAAACCTGCATAAGTTATTGGGAAATATTTGAAACTAGTATTTTCAGGATCATACCATATTTTAAATAATTTTATTAGATCCTGTTTTTTATCAAAATATTATAATTACTGGGCTATTTATGCAGAGTACATTTTCACACGAAATTTTTCCATCGTACCTACTGTAGAATGCTGTTAGAACGGTAGGGATGCATAGATCGATTTTTGACTAATCGATTAATCGAGAAACAATTTACATTGAAAAGGAGTAAAAATAGATACAAATTCAAAAAAAAAATGTTGGAAAAAATTCTTTAAAAAAAATTCTTATTCTTTAACAAAACCCATGCTTAGGAGTGCTAGAAATGTCAGGAAATTATTCATTAAAATTTCAAGCTTATTGATATTATAAATTTTAGGAAAATAAATATTATGATTAACCGCGTAATTTATATAAATCATTATTTGTATTTTTTTAATTTAAAACTTTGTCTGGTTTTATACATGCAACTTTTGTAAGCAACTCTGCTGAGTTCTTAGAAATGAGGGGTATAAAAAGTGGCAAGGGGGAAGAAATTCAAAAGAGAATCGAAGAGAGCAGCAGCAGCTGCTTAAATAAATTGCATGTATAAACCCAGACTTAGTAAAATATTCAAAAATAATTATAGAAAAAAATTTGGTCTGTTCCCATACTGCAAGAATCTACTCGAATTTATTATTTTCTTCGATATCATAAAGGAAAATTCGTTATCGTAGTAAAAAGTAGTAGATTTAATAATTTGGAAGATATGTCTTAGTTTTTACTATTTCTTTCAATATCATGCGGTTATTGAAAAATTAGTAAGAACTAGTAGATTCTAGTAGATAATTTTATTAGATTCTGGTCCTGGAATTATTGGTATTTTGCCGTACACCAAGAATCTACTAGATTTTACAATTTGTTCGATATAATAAACCTGCATAAGTTATTGGGAAATATTTGAAACTAGTATTTTCAGGATCATACCATATTTTAAATAATTTTATTAGATCCTGTTTTTTATCAAAATATTATAATTACTGGGCTATTTATGCAGAGTACATTTTCACACGAAATTTTTCCATCGTACCTACTGTAGAATGCTGTTAGAACGGTAGGGATGCATAGATCGATTTTTGACTAATCGATTAATCGAGAAACAATTTACATTGAAAAGGAGTAAAAATAGATACAAATTCAAAAAAAAAATGTTGGAAAAAATTCTTTAAAAAAAATTCTTATTCTTTAACAAAACCCATGCTTAGGAGTGCTAGAAATGTCAGGAAATTATTCATTAAAATTTCAAGCTTATTGATATTATAAATTTTAGGAAAATATTCTTTAAAAACCCCACGCTTAGTCCCAATTTAGATTAGGCGAGTTTACTTGCGGCAAGTCTTTGTTTGTTGGAGAGAGGGGCAAGGGGAATAGAAATGGAAAATTTGCTCGTACCGACAATTTTCTGGCAATTCGTTTTGTGTATTTTGTTTGTAGTGTCATTTCAGAAAAAAAACAATTCAATTCAGAAATCAGGACTTATGGGTGCTAAAAATGTTGGGAAAAATATTCTTCAAAAATACATGATTAGGGGTGCTTTATATTTTGGGGAAAATATTCTTTAAAAATCCACGCTTATGGACGCTATAAATTTTGTGAAAAATATTCTTAAAAAAATTTGTAAAAAATATTCATTAAAAATCCACGCTTATGGACGCTATAAATTTTGTGAAAAATATTCTTAAAAAAAATTGTAAAAAATATTCATTAAAAAATCCACGCTTATGGGTTCTTTAAATTTTGCGAAAATGTTCATTAAAAAAAGTCACGCTTAGGGGCGCTATAAATTTTGGGAAAAATATTCTTTAAAAATTCACGCTTATAGTACGTTTACATTTAACCAGATTTCGTTAACCCAGTGGGCTTCAATTGTCATTTCCTTTGCATATATGTCAAATAAATCCTCATAAAGTAGGTTAACCCGGTAAAAAAGTTCTAATGTACAAGGAGTTTTACGGGCGCTATAAGTTTTGTGAAAAATATACTTTAACCAGTGAGCGGAGCAGTATAGTCGGACGTGGCCGAACATATGATACCCTACACAACTTCCACGAAAATCTAAATTTCTGTGGTTCTATATTCTGAGCATTGACAATATTTCGCGATATTTTCACCCTCTTGGCCGACTAGAGGTCAACAAATGTTACTAATATTCAGTACAGCCCTTCTAATTACTTGTCCAGATTACTTTCACCGTCGGTTGTGTTGTGATGTTCGCCGTTCAATTGTGGCCTATAGATCGACTTGAAAAAACACAAAAATTATGTTTTCGGACCAATTCATCCCAATATTTTCTATCTGATCACCACCGAAAATTATAGTCGTTGTCCTTGACCATACCTGTATCCACATGGAAAATTTAAAAGCGATCAGCGCTATATTTCCGTCCTCTAGTGTGGTAATGGGTTACTAAATAATATATGAATACGTAAGCACCTGCAGATATTTAAGTGTAACTCCCACATCCGAGTACATACGACAATATAATTGGTATCAACCACTCCTCTTGGATATACTGTCATCTTCTCAAGCCTACGTCCTTCAGGAGTAAATATATACGCCATAGAATACAAATTTTGTGATTTTTCACACAAAAGTCAGGGTCCATTTGATCCGCTAAATATTGACGGTTATTTATCAAAACATACATGTTTTTTCTTTACCCCGATCCCCTTCTCCATGTAAAAATTCGCTATGTTCGGGCCGTAATTGCGGTCATTGGAGCGACCAGAAAATCAGACAAAAATAAAGCTTTTGGTGCATTTCATCCCCTAAATATTAAGCGATCTTTACCAAAAACAAAAGGGGTCTTCATTGGCCAGAATCCATCCTACATGCAAGTTTTCGTGAAGTTTGTTCCATAACTGTGGGCTATATCGTGTTTACAAATTATGATGGACAGCCGGACGTACACACCTGCCTAGATCGACTCAACTAGTCGAGATATGACGATCGGTATACTTAAAGGTGGGTCTAGGACCAATATTTCGGCGTTACAAACAAATTTAAGCTTATTGATATTATAAATTTTAGGAAAATAAAAAATCCTCGCTAAAAATTAGTATATTTTTTTTTAAAAAATCGGCCTTTGAGGCTTCAAATTGCATTTTTGAAAGAAATAAATAAGTAAATAAAACATTCTTTAAAAATTTACCCTATAAATTTGTAAAAAAAAATCTTTAAAAATATACAATTTATCTTGATAGATTGATATCTGAAATTATCTCTATAAACAAAATATATAAAAGAACAACAATTTTTTTAAATTATTATTCTAAAAAAATTCAATAAATTTATTATAGAAACATCGAAAAATCATTAACTATATTTCATGTTTAGACTATAGAACCCTATGCCATTGCGTTGACGTTGGCAGCACGAAAATGAAGGAGAAAAAGAGAAAGCTGTGATATGGCACTCACTATGAATTGATAACACATGAAGTAATGGAATGGGTGGAATGGAACGGCATTGCCAGCTGTAATTATTGTCCTATACTTTCAAATCTATGACAGTTGATAATACAAATACACTTGTAGTGAATTATTTAAAGGAAAAATACAAAAATATAAAGTAAAATATATAAATTAAAGTTGAATATATTGTGTAGAATAATATGTTCGATATTAATTATAAGAATGCATATAACCTGTTGATTTTTGTTGTTGCTATGGTTCCTAATTTTTTGTTTGCAAGGATGTTCCAGTGACCCACATGTCAATTGGGTTGTCATAATAACAAACAAGAACAATATATAAAAAAAATAATACATTTAAATTGAAAAAAAAAATTTTACAGAAATATGGCAGCTAGTAAAAAGGATCCGGTATATAATTAATATATAATTATTAATTATGTATAATTTTACTAATTTTCTTTCAATTACAGAATAAACGTACCATTGCCTATGTGGAAGAGGTCTATCGCTTAATTCAAGAAAAACCCGATATTAAAGATATTATGATCCTAAATAGCAAAGGTAATCCCATAAAAACCACAATGGAAAAATCCGAAGCTATACAATTTGCCGGTCTCTATGAAAGTTTGAGAGATAAGGCAACTATGGGTTTGCAGAAAATCGATCCCGATGATGAAATTACCATGCTGAGAATACGTACAACTAAAAATGAATCTCTCATTGTGCCAGATGGTAAAATCACTGTGGTGGTTATACAAAATGCCAAAGATCAATATTACAAATAGACAATCTTATGTAGGAAATATATATTTTTTTATAAAAATATGGAAAAAAATTTAAAAAAAATAAAATTTTATTGTACCACCACAATGGTAAATTCTTCTTCGGGTGCTATCAAATATTCACATTTCTTTGTGGCCACTCGAAGGAATGTCAAATCATTGGTACAATCCAGATCACGAACCGCACTACGGGCCGTACTCACCAAAGTGCCGCACAGCAATTTGATTATGCCCATAGATATGGTATTATCATAGGTGGATACGGCTATTGTACCATGATTATTGTTGGAGACCACATAACCTTGGGTATTGCTGGTAATACGTTCAGTATTATCGGCATTTTCTTTTATAATGGCGTCCAAGTGGGGCTATAGGATGAAATTGAGGAATATCTGATGAATTAATTCAATTCGATTTCATTATAGAATTTACCATTTTTCAGAGGATATAATTGAAGCAGCTTTTTGGAAAACTTAAATATTTTGTGACAGAATTTTCAAGGTTTTGTTTCTGACAATTATTCGGAAATAAAAATTTCTGACGTATAGGAATGCTATAAATCTTGTAAAAATGTCCTTTAAAAAATCAACACATAAGGATGCTACAATTTTTATAAAATTGACATTTAAAAAATTCACGGCCATAATTGCTATAATTTTTGGGAAAAATATACTTTGAAAATCTAGGCTTAGGGTTACTTTAATTTTTAGGGAAACTATTTTTTACAAAATGCACACTTAGGGATGCTATAATTTTACTAAAAATGTAATTTAAAAAATTCACGGCTATAATTGCTATAAATTTTGGGGAATATATTCTTTAAAAAAATCGTCAACTAGGAATGCTATAATGTTTGGGAAAATATTCTTTAAAAATCTAAGCTTAGGGATACTATAATTTTTGGGGAAACTATTCTTTACAAAATGCACGCTTAGGGATGTTATAATTTTTGGAGGAAATATTCTTTAAAAAATCAACACTTAGGGATGCTATATTTTTTTTCAAAATATTCATTTAAAATCAACACTTAGGGATGCTATAATTTTTGTAAAAATATTTTTTAAAAAATTTACACTGAGGGATGCTATAATTTTTCTAAAAATTGCCTTTAAAAAAATCCACGGTTATAATTGCTATAAATTTTGGGGAAAATATTCTTTAAAAAATCCTCGACTAGGGATGCTATAATTTTTGGGAAAAATATTCTATAAAAATCTAAGTTTAGTGATACTATAATTTTTGGGGAAACTATTCTTTACAAAACTGATTTTGTAACGGAAAATATTGTTACAAAATCCACACTTAGAGATGCAGCAATTTTTCTAAATATAATCCCTAAAAATTCACTCTTAGGGATGCTATGATTTTTGGGGAAAATATTCTTTAAAAATTCTTCGGGTTTTATAGAATATTCCACGCAAATCAATAAAATGCATCCTTCATTTTCCCGCCTCAAAAACGTCCAGCCGCTAAACGCCGTTATTTAATTCATTTGCCTATGTGTCATTCTGCCATCAATCACAACTTGGCATCACTTTCTCTTGTTTATCAACGCTTTGCACTCTCCGTATACAACCCTGGCATCCTTCACAAAAAAGTCGATTACTCGTGTTAATCGATTAATCAATTAGTCGATTTACTATCCCTAATTTTGACATTTCTGTGAAAGTGCTGGGTTTGCGGCACCACAAAACTAACGCGAAACCACCGAGTAAAGAAAATTAAATAAACTAAAGTAAAAAATATAATATATTAAAGTAAAATTATTTAATATTTTCAGAATAGCCAAAGGAAACACCACAACAATGTCTACAGAAGATTTCTACTTACGTTATTATGTCGGTCACAAGGGTAAATTTGGCCACGAGTTTTTGGAATTTGAGTTTCGTCCCGATGGCAAGTTACGCTATGCCAACAATTCCAACTACAAAAACGACACCATGATCCGCAAGGAGGCATTTGTCCATCAGGCAGTTATGGAGGAGTTGAAGCGTATCATTTTAGATTCAGAGATTATGGCTGAGGATGATTCACCCTGGCCGCCACCAGATCGTGTGGGTCGTCAGGTATGTAGCGGCACACAATATAAACTATTGTAAATTATTTTTAATCGTTTTCATTTCTTTTTGAAGGAATTGGAAATTGTCATTGGCGATGAACACATCTCATTTACTACCTCCAAAACCGGTTCACTAGTCGATGTCAATCGTTCCAAAGATCCGGAAGGTTTAAGATGTTTCTACTATTTGGTACAGGATCTTAAATGTTTAGTTTTTTCACTCATCGGTTTACACTTTAAGATTAAGCCAATATAAAAACCCCAACAACAATGGACGAAAATAGCATTAGTGGCCGTGCGGATGATGGCGATGGCGTTGAAGGAAGCAGTAGCATTAGTTGTCCTCGTCCTGCTAATGTTGCTCTGCATTTTCTTTTCTTAGTTTAATAATAATAATAAAATTCATTTGATTTCTTTTCTACAGTCTATTTACACTGACAATTCTCATGGTATTGTGTATTTTTATTTCTGATAATTTTTTTTCATGGCTTTGAAATAAATCTGTGAATTTTGTAAAGCTTGAATGATGTTGTGATTTTGATGTTTTTCTGTTGTGGGTGTTTTTGTGGGCTGTGGTGGGGATGGTATGTAAATAAACTTCAAATGGCTTTGTTTATGCCAGAGGATGTGTCAAAAAGGATAAGGATGGCATAGTTGTATTTGTAAGGAGTAAATGTTTAGTGCTGCCCATTTTGAGGGCTGTTAAATTTTAAATGGGAATTGAAGTTCGGAAATTTTTTCTCATCAAAATTTAACTCGATTTTTTTTAATGCAGGCCAATTTTTTTGGTTCATAAAAATCTTAAAGCCTTTCTGTTGGCCCTTGCTCAAAAATTTCAGTACTAAATGACTCTGAAACATGGCCGATCAAGAACAGGATACGTCGTTCTGGCCACAATTTAATACACTCTGCTAAATCTCGTGTAAATCGAACAAACATAGGCTCTTTGGTGTAACATTTACTCCAAATCGGTCGAACTTCTATATGGGAGCAGTATCTAAATTTGAATCGATTTCAACAAAACTTAACACACATTCTAGACTTGATTCAACACACTCTACCAAATTTCGTGTAAATTGAACAATCGTTTGCCTTTTTTTTGGTATTAAAAATTTCCATCGATTCTGTTAGGAACCAAAAAAAAAAAATGGTTGCAGAAGAAAACCAGTGAGCGGAGCAGTATAGTCGGACATGGCCGACCATACGATACCCTACACAACTACCACGGAACTCTAACTTTCTGCGGATGTTTATTCCGACCCTGGGCAATAGTTCGTGATATTTGCTCCCTCTAGCCCGATTAGAGGTAAATAAGACCTCATCCTTACACTGATATATTTTCCGAATATTGTTATATTGCTATAATTGTCCAGATTCCCTTCACCGTGGGTTGTGTTGTGATGTTCGGCCTATTATTGGCATCGACTCGAAAAAAACACAAAGAAATTAAGTATTCGGACCACTTCATCCCAAAATTATTAACTAATAATCACCGAAAATTATAGGCGTTGTCCTTGACCATACCTGAATCCTCATGGACAATTTCAAAGCGATCAGCACTTTACTTCCGCCATCCAGTGTGGTAATGGTTTGCTAAATAATATCTGAATACGCAAGCACCTGTAAATATTTATGTGTAACTCCCACATCCGAGAACATACGACAATATAATTGATATTAATTTGAAGGCCAACCACTCCTCTTGGATATACTATCAACTTCTCCGGTCTATGTGCTTCAGGAATAAATATATATGTACGCCATAGTATACAAATTTTGTCATTTTTCACACAAAAGTCAGGGTTCATTTGACCCCCTAAATATTCACCGATCTTTATCAAAACAGGCATGCTTATTCTTTGTCCCGATCTTTTTCTCCATGTAAAAATTCGCGATGTTTAAACCTCTGGAGCGACCAGAAAACCCGAAAAAATAAAGTTTTTGGTCCATTTCATCCCGTAAATATTAACCGATCTTTACCAAAAACAATAGGAGTCTTCATTGTCCAGAACCCATCCTACATGCAAAATTTCGTGAAGATTGGTCCATAACTGTGTCCTGTATTGTGTTTACAAATTATAATGGACAGACGGACACACATGTCTAAATCGACTCAGCTGGTCGAGATATAACATGGTCATAATGGGTCGAACATTTGAACAAATTTAGAAGGAATCTGCCAAAGTGGGTCTGGCAGTAAACGGCGAGAAGACCAAGCTGATGGTATAAACGCGCAAGACATCCAGTAGACTCGGACCAACTGTGGAACTTGAGAACTGCAGCTTCGAGGTAGTCAAAGATTTTATATACCTTGGTACCGCCATAAATAAAACGAATGGCATCTGTTTTGAAATTCGAAATTGAACAATCGTTTGCCTTTTTTTTGGTATTAAAAATTTCCATCGATTCTGTTAGGAACCAAAAAAAAAAAAATGGTTGCAGAAGAAAACCAGTGAGCGGAGCAGTATAGTCGGACATGGCCGACCATACGATACCCTACACAACTACCACGGAACTCTAACTTTCTGCGGATGTTTATTCCGACCCTGGGCAATAGTTCGTGATATTTGCTCCCTCTAGCCCGATTAGAGGTAAATAAGACCTCATCCTTACACTGATATATTTTCCGAATATTGTTATATTGCTATAATTGTCCAGATTCCCTTCACCGTGGGTTGTGTTGTGATGTTCGGCCTATTATTGGCATCGACTCGAAAAAAACACAAAGAAATTAAGTATTCGGACCACTTCATCCCAAAATTATTAACTAATAATCACCGAAAATTATAGGCGTTGTCCTTGACCATACCTGAATCCTCATGGACAATTTCAAAGCGATCAGCACTTTACTTCCGCCATCCAGTGTGGTAATGGTTTGCTAAATAATATCTGAATACGCAAGCACCTGTAAATATTTATGTGTAACTCCCACATCCGAGAACAT